AGAGAGAGAGAGAGAGAGAGAGAGAGAGAGAGAGAGAGAGAGAGATTACATAAAAAATATTTATATTTCCTACAAATATATAAATAATACGTATTACATATATATCTATAATGTGACATACTTTAGAATCTAAAAAAAATGGAATTATTTATCTTAATAAAATAATATTTTTATTAAGATATTAAAATAAAGTTATAATTAATTTTCATGACATTTCTTTTTGAAGAAATATATTTTCCCAAAATTTTGTAAAAAATTCTTACGAGAAATATTGTATTACTTGAATATTTCTGGCACTCTTTTAACACTTATTCTCATTGTTAGCTTATCTTATAATATTTATATAATAAAATTATTACTATTTACAGAAAAGAAACAACACGATACGACCTGGGCCATCAACATGATTAATGTTACCGCCAAATGGGAGGAGAGACAATCGGAGAACACTCTGGAGAATCTGAATCTGAAAATAGAAAAGGGCAAGCTGTATGCGGTGATCGGCATGGTGGGTAGTGGCAAGAGTTCTTTCCTGTCCGCGATTCTCGGGGAGATCAGTCTAACGGAAGGTCAAGTGAAGGTCAATGGCGGCATCAGCTACGCCAGTCAGGAGGCCTGGGTTTTCGGTGCCACCGTCCGACAGAACATACTCTTCGGACAGTCTTACGAACGTCAACGATACCAGAAAGTGATCAAGGCTTGTGCCTTGGTACGCGATTTCAAACAGTTCCCGCAGGGTGATCAGACCGTTGTGGGTGAACGAGGTACCTCACTGTCCGGTGGCCAAAAAGCTAGGATTAATTTGGCTAGAGCTCTGTACAGACAGTCGGACATCTACTTACTGGACGATCCTTTAAGCGCGGTGGGTGATTATTGAACGAGTTAATAATTTATACTCTTTCTAATCTCTGCGCCTTTCAGGCGTAATGTACATGACAAATTGAGAATTTGTGCAACTAGTTCAAGTTGATTTATCAATGATGTAAAACTTATGATGTAAAACTTATGAATACCTTTAATACATCAGTTCAAAAACTAACTATTATTGAGTCTTATTTTGTTTATGGCATCACTTGTTCACTACATTATAAACTTCACTGTATAGGAAAAACAATACATTTTACTTGTACCCAATAATTTGATAAACAAAAAAAAAATCCCTCTATAAAACATAATAACATTCCTAAAATATTGTATGAATATTATAAATGGTAAATAATATTCATACTACTTTCTGAGAATATTGTGTGTTTAGGAATAATTTTAATTATGAATTCTGATGAAAGACTTTTCGTTTGAAATTCCAGGTCGACGCACATGTCAGCAAGCATCTATTTCAAGAGTGCATTCAAAGATATCTTGCCGGTAAAACGAGAATCTTGGCAACGCATCAGCTGCAATATATAAAGGGAGTGGACGCCATTATATTGCTCGAGCAGGGAAAAATGAAATACTTTTCGCATTATCAGGATCTATTAGAATATCGACCCGAGTATGGAATACTCCTGGCAGCGGAGAATGAAGCGGTTGATGATTCATCTTTAGAAAGAAGTATAAACATACGACGACAGTTTTCTTCTTCGAGTAACAGAGTAAGTGCTATAAATATGTGTAAAATTAAGAAGACGAAGAGAGAGAGAGACAAAGAGAGAGAGAGAGAGAGAGAGAGAGAGAGAGAGAGAGAGAGAGAGAGGAGTTTGACAAAATATATTTTTTTTATATTGTTTTTAAGATTTTGAATTGATAAACTGATTCTTCACAATAATAAATAATGTTTGAATAACGAAAAAAAATGTACATTAATATATTACTAAAGATAAAATTTCAATAGAGTCGAACTCCGGAAGCCAGTAGCGGCGGCACTGATGATGAAGAGGAAGACGAAGATCCTGAAAAATTGAACGATGGTCTTGAGGGAACATCACGTGGCATGGTCAAGGGTCCTATATTTATCAAGTTCTTCCAAATTGGTGCCAATTTGTATATGGCTTTTGTCGTTCTGTTTCTATTCATCATTACACAATTCATCGTCAGTTTCAACGACTACTTTGTGCCTTTCTTGTGAGTATTTATGCAACTAGAAAATTGTTTAATTGAAAAAGGAATCATTTACTACATAAATAATTATTTATTACATATATTTTTTAGGAAGATTAAAGTATTTCAAAACAATTCACGAAAATATTTTAGAATGTTTCTTATGCTCGCTAGATCATGTCAAAAAATATTTGCAGAAATATTTTAAAAAGATTTGCATGCAAATATATTCAAAATAATACATATGTATAAAATCTTTTAGAAATTTTACTTTATTTGGAAAATAACTTCCAGAAATTGTCAGGTTCTTGTGAATTAATTTTTATATAGAACTAAGAACTCGAAGATAAAGATATAACTAGACTCGCATATTTAGTACATTTAACAAACAGAGGCGTGTGTGAATCATATATTGTTTTTACTTTAATTACTTCATTTGTTGTCCGATAATTTAATTTTTCTTCTCAATTAAATTTCTTTAGAGCCAATTTTGTGGAAACGCGGAACTACGAAGCCAAGCACTTTAGTCCGAATCAAACGGAAGACGTTTACATTAACACGACGAATATATATGAACGCAATGCTATCGAGGATGAATCGTTGATTAATTACGTCTACATCTACACTGGCATCGTGCTAGCTATCTTCGTTGTCGGCATCACCAGATCATTAGTTTTTTACAAGACATGTATGACGTGTAGCCAGCGCCTACACGATATGATGTTTAGTGCGTTAATTCGTACAGGAATGAGATTTTTCGATACTAATCCGAGCGGTAGGATTCTCAATCGATTCTCTAAAGACATGGGCGCAATTGACGAATTATTGCCTAAAGCGATCCTAGATGCCGGTCAGATGAACATGTTGATGTTTGGATCGCTGATAGTGACCTGCGTGGTCAATCCTATCTTCTTGGTGCCCATCGTGATTATCAGTGGGATATTCTATTGGATCCGCAAGGTTTACCTGAAGACCAGCAAAAACGTTAAACGACTGGAGGGAATAAGTATGTCTGCCATTTTTTTATTTATTAGTTTTAGCTTTATTAAAAATAAAATGTGGTTGTATATATGATATGTATACATATACAGGATGTCCCTTAATTTTTTGTACAGACTTTAACGATATGTTCTATAAGCTAAAAAGAAAAAATTTATAAATATTGATTTTGAAATATTTTATTAAAAAGTTATAGTAAAAATATGAAATATATAAGAAACAATTTTACAATTTGCATTTTAAGGTGCTGTCCGCCAATGTCAATATAAGCTTGACATAATTTTGGAATTTATTACCTTTTTTGCGAGAAAACTTGCAGATACTGCGAGGCTCGTAATGTACATATGTTATTAAAATGAAAAATCTATTTTATTCTCGTATATCTTTCTATTTTCTTTTGTTTATTTTATCTTAAATTTCATTTTCTCAATTTTTCCCCCATGGCGACTTTCTTAATTGAATGCAAATTAAATATTTGTACAATAAGAAGTTACGAGTCAAATAACATCAGTATTGTAGCTTCTTATTGTATTATTTGATCTTTAATCATCTGAGCCGTTTTTTTATTTTTGTAATTTTTAATTAAATCAAATGTATAGTGCTTTTATTTCACATAAAGATATATTTCTTAAAGATATGATTCTTTTGTGTTTCAGCACGCTCGCCGGTATTCACTCACTTGAATGCCACATTGAATGGTTTGACGACCATCAGAGCATATTGTGCTCAGGACATATTAAAACGTGAATTCGACAAGTTGCAAGATGTACACACATCTACCGCTTACATGTATATCGTGACTAGCACAGCATTCGGATTCTCTTTGGACATATTCTGTTTTCTCTTCACTTCGCTCGTTACTTTTAGTTTCTTGTTACTCGATCAATGTAAGCATTAATTCTCCAGAAACTTCTCCCAATTTTTTTCAAACAGTTTCAAACAGTTTTATTGTATTATTTTTTAAACATAAATTTAAAAAATAATACAATAAATTTTTTTAAAAATAAGATAATCAAAAAACATTTTTTAATGTACTTTTTATGAAAAATATATTTATTCATTATAAAACATATATAATTATATTTAACGTAAAAGATTTTATGTTAAATCATTTTTATTTAATAACAAAATTATTATTTGTTATAAGATTTGAGAGAGCGAGAGAGAAACTTATTTATTATAAATATTATATTTAAAAAATTTATTTTGTAAAGTAAGAATTTGTTAATAATATTGTTAATTTATAAATCAAAATATTTAGGTTAAATATATATTTTAATAAAATAAAAAATGAATCAACAAGATTAAATGAGATTTTATACATGTTGTACATATCTTCCAGCATTTTCCGGTGGTGAAGTCGGTTTGGCCATCACACAGGTAATGGCAATGACCGGAATAATTCAATGGGGGATGCGACAAAGCGCGGAGGTAGCAAACCAGATGATGGCAGTGGAACGTGTACTCGAGTACATTCAACTTTCGGCAGAACCGAATTTAAGAGATCGGGGGGCGTACGTGAAGAAAAAGGACAAGCATTTGGCGCTTCCGTCTAATGTTCCCAAAACCTGGCCTGACGAGGGTTGTATTAAATTCAAAAATGTCTATATGCGCTACGCGGACGAGGACCCACCTGTCCTTAAGAGCCTGAATATAGTGATTTATCCTGGAGAGAAGGTATGGAAAGTTTGTAGAAAAAAAATTGTATAAAAACGATTAAGAAAAAGGAGATTGAAAAACATTATTTAAAATTCTTATAAAATATAGAAGAAATTAAACTTAAATTTTACGAGACTTTCTCGAAATATTTAAAAAAAACCTCCATATGGTTTTTTTTAAAGATATATATAAATTTGATTAAACGTTAAAAAATATTATATTAAAAATAATTTAGATGTTTTAAAAATAATAAAATTATTATATACCTATACAGATTGGTATTGTGGGAAGAACAGGGGCTGGAAAATCGTCGCTAATATCAGCATTGTTCCGATTGGCAAAAGTGGAGGGAATCGTCGAGATCGATAGTGTGGACACGGGTACGATAGCCTTGGAGGACTTACGACGCAAAATATCCATCATCCCTCAGGATCCCGTATTGTTCTCAGGTACTCTGAGACGTAATTTAGATCCTTTCAATGAATTTCCCGACACGGATTTGTGGGAGGCACTTGAAGAGGTTCGAATGATTTCTAATTTAAAAATAGACCCGTACTTAATCGGAAACGTAATGCTGTTACGTTTTAAGGTTTCGACATTTTAACTGCAAAGATTGTCTTGAATCTCAAGTTCCAAAGATTTGAAAATTCTGAGATTCCCAAAATGACGATATATCATCAAACTTTAATTTAGGATGGTCTTAAGATTATTGAATAATTATGAACTTCTTATTAATTTTTTTTGTAACGTATTTCAGGTTGAGCTAAAAGAAGCGGTTGTTACTATCGGAAATGGCTTGGAAAGTCGCGTGTTTGACAGAGGCAGCAATTATAGCGTTGGACAGAGACAACTGGTATGCTTGGCGAGAGCTATCCTGAGAAACAATCGTATATTGATGCTGGACGAGGCAACTGCGAACGTAGATCCGCATACTGACGCATTAATTCAACGGACTATAAGAAAAAAGTTCGCGACATGTACGATGCTCACAGTGGCGCATCGACTGAACACTATAATGGACAGCGACAAGGTTTTGGTGATGGATAAGGGTCGTATGGCTGTAAGTACAGTTTCATAAATTTCTTAAATTTTTATGACAATTTGGAAGTTTACTTGGATTCTCAAAATATAAAAATCTTCAAATCTTCAAATTCGAGCTTTGAGAACAAGATATTGGAGTTTGAAGAAACCTTCGTTTTTTTTATCTTTTACTAATTTAAAGATATTTTATTTCAGAAAATGAAAAAAATCTGTTTATTCCAATAAACGATTAAAAAAATTTTAATATAATTTGCACAAATTTTTTTGTATAAATATTATAATTTTTTTAGAAAAATTTTTATATCTTTTATATTATACAAATTATAATAGAATACTTTCACAAGAAAAATATGCGCATTCCAAACAATATTTTTTTTTAATATTAAAATAGTCTAACAATTCTTACGTTCCATAGTCTCCTAAGAAAACTCATAAAAACAAAGTTTAAAATATTAAAAAAATTTTTATAAATTTAAAATATAAAAATTTCTTAAAATTGTTATAAGATCTTTTTTATTAAAACATTCATTATCATTTTTTTAAGCAGCACGCATGTATACAGAATTGCGATTTATATTCAATAATATCATTAAAATAACAAGGTAAATATTTCGAATTACACAGTCAGCCTCAAATGACTTCAGAGTGACCTTGACCTTGACCCTCAAGAAGGTCAAGGTCATTGACCATTCCCGTCGCTCGTTCTTCGTTAAAAAGTTATTAACAATCATAGTTTTAAAATAAACGCATTATTTCTGCTATACATGTATGATATGAAGTACTATTCTACACCTTTCCCTGTTCAGAAACGTTGAACTTTCCACGCGAAGTAACTTTCACCCCCACCCCCCTGCACAGAGGCACACGACTTCTACGATTATACTGCTGCTATGATAGTACTGTCGGGGCAGACCTCTGTCGACGGTGTGGGTATAATTTATGTACATACTTTAATGTATGTAAATACTTTCATGATGTATGTAATATTTTAATTCCAATTAAAATATTACATACATCATGAAAATGTCCTGTTTTATCGACATCAATTAAGTTCGGCCGTCTCTCCAGTATCGCCTTAAGCTACAATTATGAAGAATATATGCAGAAATAGTACGTTATTTTTAAATTTTTTTTGGTTAATAACTTTTTAACGAAGGACGAGCGACGGGAATGGTCAATGACCCTTCTTGAGGGTCAAGGTCAAGGTCAAGGTCACTCGGAAGTCATTTGAGGCTGACTGTGTAATTCGAAATATTTACCAAATAACAATAATTTAATTATTTAATTCCGATGCCTATTGTTTTGCAGGAATACGATCATCCTCACATATTACTGAAAAACAGCTACAGTCAGTTTACTTCATTAGTAAAGGAAACTGGCCCAGGTATGTATGATCAACTGGTCAAGGTGGCGAAGCAGGCCTATGTAGACAAATATGGAGAAACATGACGAAGTATTGATGAATTCTGATATAATCTTTCGTTAGTTAAATTTCTTAAGATAAAAGCGAATTGCTTAATGTGCCCAGTATACTTATGACGTAGAAGATGTATAAAGCGTACAGAGTGTAACATGTAGAAAAATGTTTGTAATGTAATATTTTTATAAGACCAAAGGGCCAAATCATCTTTCTTTGCGACATCACGATACTTTCGTTAAGTATCATAATGTCGTAATGCTGAGCGTAGCATGCGTCTGAAGAATTATATTTTTGTATCGTTTTTAATAAGATTATAGGGAAAGCATTCCCTTGCCGTAATATCTAATACAAGTTTCTGCCACGAGTAACAATATGAAGTTCTGTAATATTGTTATATTTTTCTATTCTACATTTTTGCGTACTTCAGAAATTACGAATATACTTAATTCTTGTGATAAAGCGAACACGTACGTCAATCAAGGATGAACTGTGAGTCAGTGAATGATGAAGCGTGATTTAGCATAAACACGAAATTGTATGTAAGATAATATTCATGCACACACACAGTAAACTTGCTGTGATCTCTACCAATATCCATCATATATGTTCCGAGCCATAAAAGATCTTATAAGAACGATAGACGATTTTGGAGAAATTAAAATTGCAATACAATCTTTACTGAATAATTTTATAAAAAAATAAATTGAAATTATATATATATTAAGAAAAATATGCGCATTCCAAACAATATTTTTTTTTAATATTAAAATAGTCTAACAATTCTTACGTTCCATAGTCTCCTAAGAAAACTCATAAAAACAAAGTTTAAAATATTAAAAAAATTTTTATAAATTTAAAATATAAAAATTTCTTAAAATTGTTATAAGATCTTTTTTATTAAAACATTCATTATCATTTTTTTAAGCAGCACGCATGTATACAGAATTGCGATTTATATTCAATAATATCATTAAAATAACAAGGTAAATATTTCGAATTACACAGTCAGCCTCAAATGACTTCAGAGTGACCTTGACCTTGACCCTCAAGAAGGTCAAGGTCATTGACCATTCCCGTCGCTCGTTCTTCGTTAAAAAGTTATTAACAATCATAGTTTTAAAATAAACGCATTATTTCTGCTATACATGTATGATATGAAGTACTATTCTACACCTTTCCCTGTTCAGAAACGTTGAACTTTCCACGCGAAGTAACTTTCACCCCCACCCCCCTGCACAGAGGCACACGACTTCTACGATTATACTGCTGCTATGATAGTACTGTCGGGGCAGACCTCTGTCGACGGTGTGGGTATAATTTATGTACATACTTTAATGTATGTAAATACTTTCATGATGTATGTAATATTTTAATTGGAATTAAAATATTACATACATCATGAAAATGTCCTGTTTTATCGACATCAATTAAGTTCGGCCGTCTCTCCAGTATCGCCTTAAGCTACAATTATGAAGAATATATGCAGAAATAGTACGTTATTTTTAAATTTTTTTTGGTTAATAACTTTTTAACGAAGGACGAGCGACGGGAATGGTCAATGACCCTTCTTGAGGGTCAAGGTCAAGGTCAAGGTCACTCGGAAGTCATTTGAGGCTGACTGTGTAATTCGAAATATTTACCAAATAACAATAATTTAATTATTTAATTCCGATGCCTATTGTTTTGCAGGAATACGATCATCCTCACATATTACTGAAAAACAGCTACAGTCAGTTTACTTCATTAGTAAAGGAAACTGGCCCAGGTATGTATGATCAACTGGTCAAGGTGGCGAAGCAGGCCTATGTAGACAAATATGGAGAAACATGACGAAGTATTGATGAATTCTGATATAATCTTTCGTTAGTTAAATTTCTTAAGATAAAAGCGAATTGCTTAATGTGCCCAGTATACTTATGACGTAGAAGATGTATAAAGCGTACAGAGTGTAACATGTAGAAAAATGTTTGTAATGTAATATTTTTATAAGACCAAAGGGCCAAATCATCTTTCTTTGCGACATCACGATACTTTCGTTAAGTATCATAATGTCGTAATGCTGAGCGTAGCATGCGTCTGAAGAATTATATTTTTGTATCGTTTTTAATAAGATTATAGGGAAAGCATTCCCTTGCCGTAATATCTAATACAAGTTTCTGCCACGAGTAACAATATGAAGTTCTGTAATATTGTTATATTTTTCTATTCTACATTTTTGCGTACTTCAGAAATTACGAATATACTTAATTCTTGTGATAAAGCGAACACGTACGTCAATCAAGGATGAACTGTGAGTCAGTGAATGATGAAGCGTGATTTAGCATAAACACGAAATTGTATGTAAGATAATATTCATGCACACACACAGTAAACTTGCTGTGATCTCTACCAATATCCATCATATATGTTCCGAGCCATAAAAGATCTTATAAGAACGATAGACGATTTTGGAGAAATTAAAATTGCAATACAATCTTTACTGAATAATTTTATAAAAAAATAAATTGAAATTATATATATATGAATATGAGAGGTTTGGTTTATATATGTAACTTCAATTTATATTTTATTTAATTACATAAATTATATATTATATATATTAATTGATTATATATGATTATAAATATTATTTATATATAAGCTTTTTCAGTTTATCTTAAGTATATTATTTATTTTTAAATGTTGATTTTGGAATTATATTGTTTCCAATTATCCCCAATTATTTTCAATGAGGATCTCATAAAAGCTCTAAGATTTGTATAATGATGGATAAATAATGTTCGAACAAATACTCCAATCCAACTCAAATACTTAAACGGTTATTTGAGTTTTACCTGTTATACTTGATTTTGTTATAATGCAGGTTCAACATAAGTGCAGAAACAAATTCAATAATTTTATCTACTGCATTTATCGATGCAACTATGTATATTATATGTTAGGATGAAAGTATATGTATAGAATATATATCGCTCACCATTTGCTATATCAACTTAACTTAAAAAATGTCATTATAGAAAAAGAACGAAAACATAAAAAAGGGAATTTATTTTCAACAAAATATATTTTTACACTACGATAAAATTATCAAAATTGTACTTCGAAATTTCAATGATTTAAAACATTAAAATCCTCTTATTTTCTAGAAAACTTTATCTTTTTTAGTTGTGTCCCTGTTGTAGCAAATAAGAAAAAAAATATATACCTTATAGTAAGCATTATGAAAAAAATATAGTAAAATACGTGATATAGTGAATGTACGTTATAATATGTACTGTTATGTAATAAACGTAAGTATCACGTCAATTACCTATGATAATATATTATATAAGTATAACATAGCATCACACACATTTTTGCTAATAATTAATTTTATTAGTAATGTTATTACTATCAATACATATTATACTATTAAAACATATTATATATTAGTGATCTAATAATGTTAGAATAGTATTAATATATACCTCGATATATTATATAAAATAACAAAATTATGTTTGAGGCAAATTACATATGAATATTTACGAATAAATATTTTTGTAAACGATACTTTTACATATTCGATAGGATTAGTTTTGGAATCATCTTTACAAAGATACTTCATGCTTGGAACCTTCGCCACTTTTTTACGGTCAATTATGTAAATTACTGCTCTGTATTATAAAACATTTACGACACAGTTGTACAATAAACTGTAAAAATTGTATAGTAACTTTAAGATGAAAGAGTATGCGCACACGTGATTACGCCGAATGAAATGTCGTATGTCAACAATTAACCAAAGTACAACGAAATATATAGAAAAGAATAAATTGTAAAACACGAGTTTCTTTTTATTAAATTTTTTAATCTCTAAGTAACAATTTGCGTGTGTGCGCGCACGTGCACGCGCGCGTTGCATAATTACGTCACCTCTTTTATATATTAAGTCTATTATCATTTTTGCAATAAATTTTCTATAATTTAATTTTGAAAGGATAATTATATTAAATTTAATAGTTAAACTTTTTAATTTAATGTATTATTTCGCGCGCGTAAAATAAAATTAATAATATTATTATACTTTATAATTAACTTCTGCATTTTAAGGTTAAGATTTAATTATAAAATTAATATAAAGAGAGAGAGAGAGAGTTAATTATAAATTTAAATTATAAAATAAAGTTTTATGAATAAATCAATTTTCATACTAAAAAGCATAAAAAGCCAACGCTGGATGTTTTTGTGAAATTATTATATAATCTTTCTGAATTAGACTAAAATAATTACAAACGTTTCGACACCTTTATCTTTAGTGTGACATTTAAATATACATTATAAACAGTTGACGATAATATAAATTATTATAAACATTTTACTTTTCTCCTAAATTTATCAAATTTAATTTATCGCTGCTAGATCACATTATTTTAGTGTGAAAATTAACGTTCTATATTATATCCTGCTTTCATTTAATACTTACACATCCTGCACTGTTGGATTCGTCTTAATTATTAATTATAAATTAATAATATTATCGATTTTATGTTACGCGAAATAATAAATAAAATTAAAGTTTACTGTGTTAAATCTAATAAAATTATTTTCTTAAAAATTAAATTACAGAAAAGAAATAATTTCCATAAGGTCGATTTTTGGTCTAATTTCAATTTTATTTTAAATTATCGGAATTATTAACGTTTTATTATTGTAAATAATTATTAAAATTAGATAATTTTAGCTTAAATGGACGTATTTGACTTTTGTTATCTTGTAATTAGTCAGCCCTACATATACCACCAATATTCTTATGGATCCAATCATTGCGATTCCTCGCCTTTCATGTTTGGAATGCTTGATTGACGTGAGTTCCCTTACCTCTCACGTTTAATCACGTTTAATCTTCATTTTTATCAGATGTCTGTTCGCTTTACTGATAATGTAACTGCATTATGGATGTTCCGTGAAATCATCACTATGATAGACAAATTTTTCATATAGATGTCTGTAGTGTCCTAAATATCACAAAACTGATGCGACAAGAGCACAGTTTAAGCATCTATATTGGCAATACCATTCTTTAATCGAATCAAAACTAAAGGCTTTGTATCTTATCCAAAGCTAATATTGCTTAAAAGAGATATGTCTAGATTGTAGTTTTATTCATAAAATATTTTTCTTTGTGAAAATAGTGTGTAATTGCTCAACTCAGTAACATGTTCTCTTGTATAAGATGCTGCTTGCTTAAGTTGATACACTCTTATAACACATCAATTGATAAAGATTTTTTAACATTAGACAAGAAAAGTTATTGACTTTTTATTGTTATGTTACAAGATAATATAAGTCAAATACCGTCCGTTTAAAATAATTACCCGATTTTGATGATCCTTACAATAATAAGTCATTATTTCCGACCATTTAAAATGAAATTTAAATTAGACCGGAAACTTGCCTTATGAAGACTCCTCCTTTATCAGTTTTCTTAAAAAATTACAAAATTGGTAATGCACTACAAGTGAATAAATATGCTTTTCTCAATAATGTTCACTTTCAATTTTACAATAGTAAACATTACTGCAAAAAGCATTTACGCACTTGCAGTGTATTACTAATTTCATAATTTTAAAAACTAATTTTAAGTATTTTAAAAGTTAATTACATAGTAATAATATTATTAATTTTATATGACGCGCAAAGTAACACAAATAAAATTAAAGTTTACTAATTACATTTAATAAAATTAAAATAATGTGTAAAAAGACAAATGTTCTAAATAAAAACAAATCATTATTAAATTATCATTAAATACAAATACTCCAAATAAAAATAAATTATTACATTAAATGAAAGCCAATATTAAATGGAAATTGTGTAGACAATATGTGTTAATCAAGATTATAAATACAGACGTTCCGAACTTTTGTTGGAGTTATCTTCAGTGTAAATTGACTAATTAATACAAATTATTGCGCATACATTGAATACAGCGCAGATATCAAGTCATGAATATAACGTCGAGAGGTAAAAGTTATCGACGTACTTACGTCTTTAGTATTTGGTAGAATACTTATTGTTAATCACGCGCATAAGTAAAAAGAAAACTGAAATATTAAATGATTACTGTGACATTATCGTGCTTAATTAATACAGAAATAAAAATTACGTTTGTAATAAAATGACGGTGACGTAGTTGAGTTAAGTATAAAAGTGTGCAATACGAATTATTGTTCTGAATTTGTGAGAAACTGAAAGACAATAGGTGTGTTCGTATATACTTAGTTAACAATAAAACCTAGAAGCATCAAACTTTCGTAAAAAGGATTATATAAAACAACTAATAAAATTATTTTATTAAATTGAATTAAAGAATTCACATTTGCTAAGAACATTTTTAAAACTTTTATTACAAGATGAGTCATTCATAATAGTTCGTTTGTTTAACTGTCTTGTGTGCAATATCCATTTAGACTTTTTATATATTGTTTAAAATATTATTAAAAATAGTTATTTATCTAATAACTATCTAAACAATTACTAAATAGCTAAATTTAGTAACATTTAACTTAATTATAAAATAATTTTATAATTTAATAAAATTTTACTATAAAATGAAAGAAAAGAAGAAAAGAGAAAGACGAAATGCATTATGTTGATTAATTGAGATACGTGAAATGCAGTAAGTGAGAAAAGAAACAAGAAATGCATGTAGTTGTACAACGTATGGGACAGTTATCACTAATGTTTCTCGTATATCATTATCAGTAATACCTAAAGCCGATATGAAAAGCAGCAACACAGTTACAGGTTCCAGTAAAGAATTAACTATTGAAAAGCGTGTCTGAAGAAACGGCAGGTAAGAGAAGGAGAAAAAACAGACAAGAGAGAGAGAGAGAGAGAGAGAGAGAGAGAGAGAAAAGAGAAAAAGAAGGAAACAAAAATGCTGATTGTTTTCATTTTTTCTTGTTAACTCGAAGCGTCGCAGATTTTGTGAAACAGTGCAACAATATGGATAAGGACACGAGCAACATGAAGCCAAATCCCAAAGAGACCGCAAATGTCTTCAGTATTCTATTTTTCTGGTTTGTCAAAATTCTTAATTAAAAAAAAGAAAAAGAATAAAAAAATATCTTTTGCTTTTTACAAAAAAATTTAGTTTTTAGAAAAAAAAGACTTATAACAATTTTTACTTTCTTAGAAAAAAACTTTCTTGTGTTTTTCGAGAAAGAAAATATCTTAATTTTTTAAGATAAAATTTTCTTTTTAAATAGAGTATTTCCGCTTGTGTTACATTAATTATTTCTAATCTTATAATTTATATTTTACGTTTTATATTTTAAAGAAATAAAACACTGCAAATTTTTACCTGTTATTCAAAAGATCGACATAGAATATTTTATGTTTATTGTTAGTTATACCTTTATCATTTTTTCTTCTCCGTTAAATTAGAAGTGTTAAATTCTACCTAATTTGTTTTATTTTTAATCATTTAGATCACCTGCTGCATAATTAATTTAGCTAAAATAAAGTACAGTAAACAGTTTAACTAATGCAAATTGTATTAAATTTAGTTTATTAAGATTAAGTGTGTACGATAACGACACTGTTTACTATAAAACTAAGCAATTTGATCACAGAAATGGATTTACATTTTGACACACATGGAAGATAAAAATAACAAAATATTGTCTAATTCAAGCATTTGCTTAATTAGCTTTGCTCTTGTGATATTTAATAATAAATATCAGCTATTATTTGTTATAATATACTTGAATACATATTCAGTCTTCGATTTTTTGTGTTTTGTGTATGTGTATATATATATATATATATATATATATATATATATATTTATCGTTATTGCTAAAAAGAAAAAGGAATCATATTTTAGAATAGTTTTTCTTACTGTAATATAATAATGAAGTATATACCGAAAGCATACAGATTGTTTTCGATGCGCACAGGTGGATGCGAGAATTATTTGTGACAGGATCTAAGCGTGATTTAGAGGAATCTGACATTTATCGACCAATCAAGGAAGACGAATCCCAAAAAGTAACCGATCATCTTGAAAAGTGAGTATTACTTGCGATGGTAACAAATGAATATATATTAATAAACACACATTATGATGCTCGTAAAAATTATAGTTTTCTCTTTGACTTTACATGAAATAATTAAATGAATTTTAATATTCTGTATAGAATATTAAATTCTGAATAGAATAGTGTGCAAAATGTCATTATTTAAATACCTTATTAAAATAAAGTTAATTTGTGGAATATGTATATATAATTAGATTTTGTTTTTATTATTGTGTGAGCAAATTCTGCATTTCGCAAAGATTAAATGATATGACATTTTATGCATTTATATTGGATGCTTTTAAGTAAGAAACATAGATGACTCATTGTTAGTAACACAGTGAATTATTGCATTCTTGTTAGCCAATATTAAACAAAGATAAAACGCTTCAATGTGTTATGCTACGTCATCTGTATTTTGCTGGAAACCACCCATTATTTATAATATAATTTTGATAATTATTCTATCTTGCGGCGTCATTATTTTACAATAAATATTTATAACCCTTTAAAGTAAAAATGCAGTTAAATACGGAAAAAGTAATTTAGTGTTAATAAAATTTAACTATAAATCAATTTCGTCGTCTTTATAGAATCCTAGCGCATTTTTTTCAGATATTGGAATTGCGAGCTAGATAAACTGAGGAACCTGGAATATACCGTAGGCAAAGACGGGCAGAAAGTGCCGTTAAAAAAGAATGCTCGTCCGAAATTGTACAAGGCGATCGTTAAAACTTTTTGGATTCCATATTTGATAATTGGAATCTGCGTATTTATCCAAGTATATCGATACATTTATAAAAAAAGTACCACATATATTAACATTTGTGATTCTTACAATTATAGTTTAATCGTGTTTATTTTATGATAAAAAGAAACATTAAAATTATTCCCACGAAGAAAAAAAAACAATTGAACAATTTGTTGCGTTAGATGTTAATCTTTCGTGAGATTAGTTAACAATGAAGAAGCAAATTAATTGATTTAAGTAAATAAATCTAAAATATCTCTCTTTCTTCTTAGATTTATTAACTTCAAAGTTATGAAGTTATTTCTAAAGCGCTATTAATTTTAAAAGTTTAAAATTAATTTCCATTGGGAAAACTAATACAATACTAGTACATTGAATGCAAATCAATTTACATATTTATATATATTAATAAATAATTTAACTCTTTTAATTACGTAATCCTTATTAACATGATAACTTCAAAATGTTAAAAGGATTAAATTATTTATTAACACTAAAAATATATAAACCAATTTTCAGTCAATTGCACCAGTGTTACACTAGTTTTTTTCCCCAATGAAAAATGCTATAAATTTCAACTTTTCTATTTTTAGTGCAGTGTAGTACGCGTAGCAGTACCGATCATTCAAGGTTGGATCATTAACTACTTTTCCAATAATTCCAACTTGAAGATAGAAAAAAGTGAGGTGCTGATCTACATCGTTTTGATGGTCATCTGCAGTTTTATCTCCGTTATGATGATGCACCATACGATACTGCAATCGTTGCACATCGGTATGAGGATTCGCGTCTCCTGCAGCTCCCTCCTCTATCGTAAGGTAATGTTGCGGATTAATTTGCATATCTCTCTATGTGTTAATCAAAATTCTTCCTAAAAAGAGAAAAGAACTGTTTTTTTCTATATGTAGAAAGACTGAACTGTGCTTACTTTAATTAATTAAGTGATAATTGTGCAATAATTTTACGAAATTAGATCAACACGCGAGATTTTTTAATGTTGCAATCTTGAAATTTTGTCTGGCAAGAAAATTTATTAAATATAAAAAAATCGATTTAAATTAGCTCTTTTGGTGTTTAAAGAAGTGACTAGTCGTATTGAATTCGTTATCTCGCACATTTATTGTCTTTCATTGTCAGTCATTTGCATACACTTGTTATCTACCATTCTCGAGTTTCTTGTGGAAAAATGTGGAATTTAACACGTTCAAAATGTAAAATCACAGGTCACTATAAATGGATTTTCTTTTATTTCTATAATCGCTCAGAGCATTCAGAGCTAAATTTCTGACATACATTTCACACGTTTAATCATTATGATTGATCTATGAATTGATTATGTTCAGTAATAACTCTGTTTTTCTGTGAATGTGTAATTGTATACGTTAAAACATTCGCCAATTATTCATTAGTATAATAATTATTTCCTATTTTCAGCCTTTGAAGATCGGCTTTGATCTAAAATTTTTTAAATTTTAATTTTCGTAGAGTGACTTTGAAACATCATTTTTATAATACACGTATTTTTTGTATTATTATAGATAAAGATATGACAAATGAATACGTGGTGATTTATTGTACAAGCCAGATATCTTCTTCATTATGCATGTCCTTCGACTCCAACCGATAGTACGTTTGCTGGTACCCTGCGAATATGCATCACGGAATGACACATGTCTTCCGGTACTTATCTCTGTCGAAATATAGCAAACTATTATTACGTAAATAGAGAGCAAAACCCAGTTAAATGGAAAACAACAATTTTTACATGTTGCAATAACACAAGTAGAACTTTCGTAGTTTAAAATATTTCTTTTCTATTGTGTCTTAAAAATAAATTTTTTAAAAATTTATATTGATTAAATTTTTGTATCAATACAATTTTTTAAATAATACAAATCCTTGTATTATTTTATGATATTACGTAAAACAAGTTAAAGTTTAAAAAAACGGAATTCATTAAAAAAAATGTATTAAAATGAAAGAGAATACAGTTTTTTAATATATCTTTTGTATATTACAAACACAGTTTTTTCTAATTATATAAAAGTAGACTTTGTGTAATTATTTATTAAAACTGTTGCAGTTATTACGATTGAATAGAGCATCTATGAACCAAACCGGTACCGGACAGATCATGAATCTTCTCAGCAATGATGTTAATCGCTTCGACCAATTAACGGCTTTCCTAAATTACATATGGATCATGCCTTTCCAGGTCTGAAATTATTAATCATCTTCATTACTTTTTTCAAGTAGAATTGCTTAAGTTAATGTCAGATCATTAAGGTCATGGCACATATGTAAGAAACTTACGACGTAAGACTTAAGCAGTAAGGAAATCAATATGTATTCGTTACTGCACACATTATGATCTCTGCTTGTGATTGGTCGATTTACATCTTAAGTTTTTCAATATACTATGGCCTTAACTCTGTTTGAACAGTTGCAAAGCATTTATTGATTATTTTTATCAGTAAAATGATTATTTCAATGAAATCTGTTATATCAGATGTTATGTCAGATTGCGACAGAATGCCAATGTACACGGAGAAAAGGATTTCTTAAAATTTACCCTGAAAATATAGTAATTATGGTACAATACAATAAATTTAAAGATTTTTACCATTGATATTTTTTGAAGATATTTATCTTTCATCATGTTTTTGAGCTATGGAAATATCATAAAAGTCGAAAAAGCCAGATTCTGCAATAAAACGTATATAACTGATCTGAACAAACACAAGGTCATACAATTTTCTCGGTCAAGAATGCACAAAGAAATTTGATTGTGAAGTAGTTTTTTTTATCAAGAAAGGAATTGTTGATATTAGCCCATTTATCTTCATCCAGATAACACACATGTTCAAAAATGAATAGTACATGTATATAAAATATTTTAAATATTATATATATATTAATGACATTTTTTTTTAAATGTCTAAAGTTAAAAATATGAAATCGTCTTTAAGACGTTTTATGTCGTGATTTTAGACTTTGCTGTCTGAGTATTAGCTGAATCCGACTTTTTTACGCTTTATGCTGTTCTTAAAGTTCAAAAACATATGACGAAAGATAAATATTTTCAAGACATCAAGGACATTAAGAGGAATGTGACAAATGCTCTGAATAATATTCCAATCACGACTTTAAACAAAGTTTTAAAGCTTCGAATCAAGACATGTGATTAATATATGATAATAAATGACAAAGATATATATATATATGTATATTAATGGGGATTGTACTCTGAAAGATCAATATAACATTTTGTTATCTGAGGCGTTTGTATTTTTTTATTGCCATAGTTCGGAAACTTTATTGTCAGATTATGTGTATTGATGGACTGTTAGCAGATTAGTAAGGATGCAGATAATTATAAATCTCTATTACTTATTAGTATTATATAATTAATCTCTTTTATAGATTGTTGATATATTTATAGTTATTAATTAGTTTGACTTATATAGAAAATCCATACATTTGTATTTTACAATTTCGAATTAGTCGTCTAGATTGTAAAGACTAGGATATTTTCCTGTTTTCTGATTTGGATGTTGCTTTTCACAAACTAACTGTTGGTCGGGTTTTTTCACAGATCATAATCATAGGAACAATAATGTGGCGAAAGATCGGTATTTCGGTTCTTGTTGGCATTGGATCGCTATTAATTATCGCTCTAGCAGTACAAGGAACCTTCAGCGTGCTGAGCCGCAGAATCAGAGCCCTGATTGCGCCACTGACTGACCGAAGAGTACAGTTACTGAGTGAACTTGTAGCTGGGATACAGGTATATATTTACGGGATATGTAATTATATAGTTATAATTTATTTTTAAATAAAAGAACAAATGGTTTAAAATGTTTATTTTAATGTGTTTTAAATAAACGTTAATTATGAATTGTTTTGAATAAGCGTTTTTTTGTTAGCAGTTGCTGTATGACTGTAATCGAAAAATAACTTTAATAATATCAAATGTAGAGAATAATGATAATAGACTAGAGGGTCACTAGACCTCACACTAGACGTTTATTTCAACAAATTATAATTTTGTAACAATAATATTTAAAAGCCTAATAACTTAATCAATAACTATTTAATCGTTTACAATTTAACTTGTCTGCTACAGGCGTTGTTAAAAATATAACGTCTAACTCAAACAATTATATAATTGTTAGCTCAAACTTTTAAAGAGTTAAAGCATAATTATCAGACAATTACGATTATTTGTGCTCAAACTATATTTTTATATATTTGATAATATACTTTTAGATATTTGAATCTAATTACGACAATTATTAAGTGTTTAATAATTATTGCTTTTAATTAATACATTATTCTGTATCTAACTGGGTATTACAATATTGAATAATTAGATATATATCATAAAAAAAATATCTTAGTTGCAGACGATAATCTTTCAACAGTTGCAAAACGGCTTTTTTTATTGCACACAGCCAATATATATTTCAAGATCAAATAACTATATAATTCACAAAAGTAATAATTGTTTAATTAATTGAATTGTCCGATAATCAATCAAGTTGTTTTTTTCTTATAGTATTATGATAAATATTACATTGTGTTAAAAGATTTCTATTTTTCAACATTTAAATGATAATTTTTATACACACAGTTTTAATTAATGAAAAAAATATAAATTAAAATAATTTCATCTTTATATATTATAGATTTCGAGAAAATAAAACTTTTATTATATTTTAAAAAACTGTACAAATTTAAATAATTTCCAACCTTTATGTTTTATATGTTGCGGCATAAAACACATACTACCCAAATGTTAAGAAATGGAATTAACCTCGTACATTATAATAAGTAAATTTTTGGTATTCTTTACTAATACACTATTAAAAAAAATTAAAACGTTACCTTTTCCATTCAGAAAAATTGACAAATTTCGAAATAGAATAACTTCTTCAAAAATCTCGATAATTTGATACGAGACTTTACTCTATTTTCTTTATGCTTTATTTTTAAAAGACGTTTAGATGAGTAAACACAAACATTCAAGTGTCAATTAAATTTTACAATAAAATTTTATGAAACAATTTTACAAGATTATAACTCTCATTTCAGGTAGTAAAGATGTATGCCTGGGAGAAACCATTCAGCAAGATTGTTTCGGTGACCAGAGAGCTAGAAATTCAGAAGATTAAATTTTCGTCTTACGTGCGCGCAACATACTTGGCTATTATAGTTTTTACAGAACGATTAACGCTCTATTTTGCTTTGATAACGTTTGTTCTAATGGGGAATGATCTGACTGCTGACGTGACCTACGAAATGTCGACGTACTTCAACATGCTTCAACTCACTGCCGCGTTGTACTTTCCGCACGCGCTGATAATGCTGGGCGAATCGATGGTGTCTCTGAATCGATTAGAGGTATAATTGTTTTCAAATTAGTGATAAATTCTTAAATCCATAATTTTTCTCATGTCTATTGTCATGTAATTGCTAACTAAAGTGAGCTTAATTTTTACAGGACTTTCTATTGATGGACGAAGTAAACATGGGATGCTCGGAGAAGACAACACAGTTGCAGTGTAAATCTCCGAAATCAAACGAAGAGAATAATGCAGAGAATCAAATAGATAGGTACATCTCAAGAAATGGGAGTATCGGTCTTTCGGAACCTCAAGGATTATCTGATCTTGCGGTCCACGTGAAGCTACAGCGTGTTTCCGCCAATTGGATTAGTGGCCAATTGCCGCCGACTTTGTGCAACATTAGCTTAACCATCAAACCAGGTCAGTTATGCGCTATGGTTGGCGCCGTAGGTTCCGGCAAATCGTCAGTGTTACATCTGCTGCTGAAAGAACTGAATCCTGGTGCGGGGTCAGTAATCCTCACCCAGGGCCCTTCGAAGAATAATTTTCAGGGCAATGTGTCTAACGGTTACTTCACGAGTAATCCGAATCTGCGCATCTCCTATGCTAGTCAAGAACCCTGGCTCTTTGGGGGTACAGTGAGGGATAACATATTGTTTGGCCAGCCCTATGATAAGACCAGATACATACAGGTAGCTATGGTCCAAAGCAATAATTGTTGCAGATACTGTACAGTGTTTATGTATTTCTATTGCATATTAATATCAATTTCTGAATGTAACATGTAGCAATTCTCATATTCTTCCGCAATCAATCACATTAAACATAAATTACGTTTTAAATTATGAAATAAAAGAAGAATCTAAGCAAGTGTTATATATTTTGCTGAATCTTTAAACTCTATATAATTCCATTTAGATAAAAAAAAATGTCTAATATTTGCTAATTTCGAAATTTTTAGCATTTCCTAATTTCATTTTTTGATCGACATTTGCAAATGTTTTAGGTGGCAAATGTGTGCGCTTTGACGAAAGATTTCCAGCAGTTTCCGCAGGGAGACATGACATTGGTCGGTGATAGAGGTGTATCCCTGTCCGGAGGTCAAAGAGCCCGAATCAATCTCGCGAGAGCGGTTTACAGACAGGCGGATCTCTATTTATTTGACGATCCCTTGAGCGCTGTGGATACTCACGTTGCCAAACATCTCTACGGAAAGTGCATCACCGAGTATCTTCATGGCAAGACGAGAATACTCGTTACCCATCAATTACAATTTCTCAAACGAGCTGATCACATTGTCGTGCTGGATCGAGTGAGTCATATAGAATATTCTTTAACCATCTTTATTAAATTGAAAAATTTTTAATGAAATGGGAAAGGGAGCTATGAGCCAAAATGACGTGTTCATGTAAAATTATATTAATATAATTAAACATTTAGAATTGACATATCTTTTGGTTTCAACATTGGAACATTATTCCCAGCGTAATCGCAAAAACTCACTTTAACTTGTTTAACAAATAGTTCAAATACACTGCTGGTAAATTGCTGTCGCTTCAAGATACGCATGCTTAAAGATAAACAACAGCGTATACAAACTAGTTGTTAAATAATATTATTACGTTGTTATTGCTCTTGTGAAAAAGTATTCTAAAATGTTGTTTACATTTAATAAAAAAGTAGTTCTTGCAACTGTTAAAAGATTATCATCTGTGACTGAAGAATTTTTTTTAAATCTTTGGTATTGGCCCAGTTAGATCCAGAAGAATGTGTCAATTAAAGGCAATAATCATTAAGCCTAATGATTATTACCTCTGAATCATATTAATTTTGATCTTTCAAAGACTTAAAGATATATTTTGAGCTTAATAGATAATAATAATTATCTGTTTATCTGATAATTATAATAATCCTTTAACCGAACAAATTATGAAGTTAAACGTTACCGTTTACAGTTCTTTTGATAAAAGATAACAAGAAATTTTTTAATTCATACATAAACTTTTAAATTCAAATGTTTGAAGTTTATAAGTTATAATTATATTTAATTAAAAGATTTTAGGCAGTTAAATATTCTTTAGATTAAATATCCTAATTTTTTTTTACTTAAGGGCTTCGTGAAGATGCAAGGAAGCTATAATGAAATAGTAAAATCAAATAAAAGTTTCATTGGGATGATGGACAATTTAAGTCACGAAGCGCAAGAAAAGCAGGAAGAAATGAGAAGAGCTTCAGAAATGTCTAGAAGAATCACGGTAACGAGACGAGTCTCGAAACTATCGACTGCAAGTTCCGCCATTGTAAGCTTATCATTGCGCATTTTTAATAAAAAACTATAAAAACCGAAATTATTTATATGTTAATTTTATCTAATAAAAATATAGACTCATAATACAACAAAATAATTAAAAAAGATCTGGTCGGCATATTCGTATTAAAAATATTTTAATTCATAATTAATAAAGCCAAGTGAAAGACATCATATAAGAAATATTGCGAGGGAAGTTAAGTAGCTTTTAAATAATAGTTACTCTTCTCAATATTACTTTCTTCGGTTCTTATTAATTCTGACTTCATCAAATTTCTCTCATATGGTGAGGGACCTTTAAATAATTAGATTGTTATCGTGCCATCATATAGCACTCGGACATTGATGATGCTGATTATATGGAAAACAGCCCAGAAGCCGAGATAATGGCACACGGCCAAATATCTGGCAGAGTATACAAAGATTATCTACATTATGGCGGCAACTACTTCACGCTATTCATACTGCTGCTGCTCTTCATCATCAGCCAGATCGCCACTACCGGGAATGATTACTGGCTGTCATACTGGACTGCCTTGGAGGATGTCAGGCGTATTGGAAACACTAGCGATGAACAATTCGCGAACATGTACAATAATAGCTTCCTTGGGTCGATCTTTACGCTGAACTCGGATGGTCTCCTCGGAACTGTGGATGCCATATATCTATATACATTCTGCATCATTGCCTGCACCGTTACCACGCTGTTGCGTAGCTTTCTTTTCATGAAGGTCTGCATGAACTCAAGTCGCAACCTCCACAATACCATGTTTTCTAATCTGTTGCAAGCGCGTATGTCTTTCTTCCACAATAATCCTTCAGGTAAGCAAATATTGTGAGATTTAATAAGTAAACGCTGTACTTCTGACAATGATTTGGAAAAATTCATTAGTAATAGTTTCTTTTTTTAAATTCTTATATATAATATAAAAAAATTTGTCGGACTTTTATTAAATTTTCTGTATATTTAGAAAATTTTTTAGATTTTTTTATGTGAATGAAACATTTTTAGAAGTGCAGTAAAAGTATATATCTTTTAAAGAATTTTAACAAAAAAATATTTTAACAAGGAAAAAATTGTTTCCTCTATAAATTTAAGATACAAAGAATTGTTGAAATATGAAAATTTTGGTAATTATGCAGATTAAGGAATATTAGGATCTGTGAAACCAGCACGACATTCTGTCAAAAAAAATTACAACAGTTTCAATAGAACTTTTCATAGTTCTACAGATCCTTATAAAAATAAACATTAGTTCCGCATTTGTAATACTAAAAAAACATTAAAAATGAAGATATGTCGTGCTAACTTCGAGAATGTAGCACATTTTCTTTTCTAAAGTACCTTAATCTGCATAATTACCAAAATTTAAGACTTTACTTTGAATCCGGATGCAGAAAATGAGTATATTTTTATTGAGTTCAATATTATCTTAATTGATGTAAAAATTCATTATTGTTATCCATGAAGAAATAAAATGTGATGATTGACATTTATAATCGCTTTTCGTTATATTAGTTATATCAGAAATATGAATCATTGAATTTGTATCAATTTTCATTTCTAGACTTCAATTCTTTTATAGATCTTGCTGACAATTAGCGATTTTTTTGTGTTCCAGGAAGAATTTTAAACAGATTTTCGAAAGACATGGGCATCATGGATGAGTTGCTACCTAAAGTTATGTTGGAGGCACTTCAGGGGTGCTGCGTAGTGTGTGGTATAATGATCATGGAAGCGATAATCATTCAATGGATGCTGATATTCATAACGATAGTGATCGTCTTATTCGTTTTCGTGACAAGGTTCTATTTAAAGACCGCTCAGAATGTCAAACGTCTAGAAGGCGTAAGTAAGTATTGGAGCGAGTAACTTCATTAGAAAAAAAGTGTAGTATATATATTAAATCTTTGACGTATAAATTTCTGGATTGTTTAAATGTTATCAGCAAATTCAGACTTCTAAATTTTTACTTCTTTTGAAATCTAAATTTTGTAAATCCTAGAAGTGATCAAATTTGCGTTTCGGTTTTCAGCGAAAAGCCCTATGTTCTCGCACGTGAACGCCACGCTGAACGGATTACCGACGATCAGGAGCAGCGGCGTCGGAATCGAGCAGATGATGAGAAAACAATTTGATATGTTGCAAGATCGTCACAGCGGCACGTGGTTTCTTTTCTTAACGTGCGCGTCGGCCTTTGGAGTTTTTACGGATATAGTCGTATGCCTGTTCCTAGCTTGTCTTTGCTTCTCTCTAATACTGATAAATGAAAATGGTAAATTATAATAAATTAACAATTTTTAATTATCTATATAGAAAAATTCTAGAGTAAAACTGATTGCTATTGGATAGCTTTTTCTGGCTAAAATTAATTAGATTGAACTTGTTCAAAAATTGTCCAAAAAATACTGACCATTATTCGATAGCTAATCTAGCTGGCTATAAACTATGAATGAAAAGAAAATAGAGAAGCAGTAAATTACAGCGAATTAATAGAAACAATCTTTTAATATTTAAGCTTTAGTATACTTGTCGTTATTTCTACGTGTGATTATATAATATTTTAAAAAATTTATTTGAATAATCTTGAGGGAGAGAGAGAGAAAGATCTTCGAGCTATGTATTTCAAGTCTTCTTCTTTGATCTTCATACCACAGGTAGTATAGCTGATAGCCAAGCAGGTCTAGCAATATCGCAATCGTTGATCCTGATCGGTTGCTTGCAATATAGCATAAAACAGTCCACCGAGACGATGTCGCTGATGACTTCCGTGGAAAGAATTTTTCAATACACAAATCTTCCTAAGGAAGAAACTATTACATCGAACAATCCACCGCCACCTACATGGCCATCCCAAGGACAATTAATCTTAAAGAACGTTAACATGAAGTATCATGAGGACGATCCACCAGTTTTGAAAGTAAAAAAAAAAACTGATATTCATTCTGTAAATATCTTTTGTGTTTTATCACGTTATCACGTTTTGCAGAATCTAAACGTATCCATCGAGCCTGGCTGGAAAGTTGGGGTGGTTGGACGAACAGGCGCCGGCAAGTCTTCCTTAATCTCGGCGCTCTTCCGCTTGTTCAATGAAGGTTTAGAAGGAGAGATCAAGATCGATGATCGAGACACAAGCACGGTGGGCCTGAGTGAACTACGCTGCAAGATCTCTATTATACCACAGGAACCTGTGCTTTTTTCCGAGAGTTTACGTTACAATCTGGATCCGTTCAATCAGTACGACGACATGAAGCTGTGGGAGGTGCTGCGGCAAGTCGAGTTGAATGATGTCGCGCTGGACCACGATATCTTCTTCGGCGGTCATAACTTCAGTGTCGGCCAGAGGCAACTAATATGCTTGGCCAGGGCCATCCTAAGAAACAATTGTTTGCTCGTTCTCGATGAAGCTACGGCCAATATTGATTCGCAGTAAGTCTTGACAATTTTTTAGTAGTAAGATTATTTAAATACCATTTTATGAAGGAAAGTAGTTTTGATTGTTTAATCATTAATGAACATTAATAAATTATTGTATTAATAATTCAAATATCCTCTATTATTAATTAAGCTATTCATTTTGTGAATAATTGAGTATACTTCCATAGTATATTAGAGTACATTTTTTTGTATAATAAATCCAAGATGATAGAAAAAACAGATTTTAAAAAAGACAGACTTTTCAAATTGGATAATGATATCAAATTTCTAACAAACGTCTAGGTTTTGTAAGATGCTCTTAAAAGCACGATTTCAAATTTGCTCTAAATTGGTAATTCTATTTCTAGCACCGATGCCTTAATTCAGGATACAATAAGAAGTAGTTTTAAAGAATGCACCGTCATTACAATAGCACATCGTTTGAATACAATTATAGATAGCGATCGGATTATTGTAATGGAGAATGGATCTATCGTGGTAGGTCTTTCGTTTTATAGCTAAATTTTTATTTTATGAAAATCTTGTAATCAGGGAGGAGACTTAATTTGCATTTGAAAGATAATTAGAATTGTTATAATAACAGGAATTTGGTTGCCCGTACGAGCTGTTGCACGACAAACCGGACGGTTACTTTTCACAAATGGTAGAGAAGACGGGCAATCATATGGCGCAAAGTCTTTTGGAACAAGCGAAGAAAGCTTGCGAGAAGAATAACGATCATCGTGAATTAAACTTATCGGCGCAAAATACTAGGAATGAGAGCGATATCACAATTACAGAACAGTCTGCTTTGTAGCTTTTTCTACCAAGAAAATCTTGCATAAAAAAGTACTCCAAAGAAACCTGTCGTTTTTATAAGGACTATATGTATTCGGCTGATGGTGGCGGGAATCATGTTCTCACTGTTGAGGTTCAATATAGTTTATATATCGCCATTTTAAAGTATAACAATACATATATATATACTCATGGAACAGTGAGAAAGATAATTACGGAAATCTGACAATTTTTAAATTGCATTGTGAATATGTGTTAAACACCATTGAGAATGTGTGCTGTTGAATAACATTAATCGAGAACATGATCCCCGGGTCTTCAACTTCGATGAAACTACTACTATAAAAGCACTACTACAAAATAAATAATATTAGTACAAACTCACTTTTTTAAAAAAGATTAAAAAATGCTCTAAGAATTAAGTGCTTCTCAAATGAAATCTAATTGTAAGTGATATGTTGTGTTACGTATCTTTTTATTGTTTTTAACTCAAGTAATAGTTTTTTAATTCTTCTTCGAAAATATTCTTTTTGACGATCTTTTTATTTCAACCCAAATAATGGCAACTTTAATTCTCTTAAATATTATTTCTCTTTGAAAAAGTCTATTGTAACACCGACGAAATATCGAACTCTTATGAATTTAAAGTTCGTGACTGTTAAAATTTAAATGATTAAAAATAATAAACTGATAATATGGGGTACTAATTTCATAATTTATTCGTTTTGTAGACATGTATACATGTTTTATACTTAATAATACTCACTTTTTATGGAAAACTGTAATTTTAACTTTATCATCCGAGTTTGATCGTCAACAGAAATGAGAAGAGGAAAAATTATAATTTTTTGGCAATATATAAGATATTATAACATTAAAGGTATGTGTACTTATTTGTATAGCATTTATATTTTAAAAGTCACAAATTTAATAATATATTATTGAAATATTTATAATTATACAAATATATATATAAGAATCTTTTTACGACCGTATAATTGATAAACAATAATAAGAAGAAAGGAAGCAACGAAGTAAAGCCATTAACGGTCAAAGCTAGATCACAATGCTTATTATAATGTGTAAATTTTATATACCGCGTATGTAGTTCACTCAATCGCGTGCCGAAAATTTTTTCAGACTTACAAAACGCAAACCTTAAACGACTACCGCGGTAATATCATTTTAGTTAAATTGTTAACTTTAGTTAAATCTTTTCTTCTTATTATTGAAATATTTATGTTAATAATCGCAAATTTTTATTAATTATCGATAATGTCATTGTTCTTCAATTATTCCTCGGGGCCCTATTGATAGTCATAAAAATTAGCATAGGGCCGAGCGTCTTTAATATAGTAGTATCTTGTCGGTGACTATAATACGTATTAATACCCAAATACTAGTCTTGACTATATATTATACATATATATATAACAAAATTAATTTCTATCAAAGTAAAAAGTAAAAATTCTCTCATGTGGCACTATCTTTGTTATTTATTTAACTCTAATGATTTGATATGAACAAATGGCACGCCAAGTTAAATCTCACATCAATCATAATTTGATTTTACAAATATATGAAATAACAAATGAAATTATAGTTTACAATTAAATATAATAAAATTATAGCTTTTTAAATTAAATTAAATTATAATCAAAAAATTCATCTGTCTCTTCAAAAATTTTTTAACTTACTACGTTGTAATATGTTAATAACTATTATATAGTTTGTATCTTGTGTGTCGTCAAGTTAGAACATTTTAATGTTGTTTAAAATAAAGGTGTTACTGTTAAAATAGTTATCTGTTAAATCATTATTAGTTTAGTATCAAGTAAAATTTTTTACTATACAAATAGGAAAAAGGAGAAAGAAAAAATAAAATACGATAAAAAATAGCGTGAAATGTAACTTGAAAAGAAAAACAACATTACGTAGCTGTATTTGAATAAACAATGTATAGGACAGTTATCGCAAATGTTTCTCATACGTCACCAGTAATGTGTAAAGTCAATATAAAAAGTAGCGGCACAACTATTGATTTCAGTAAAGGATTAACTATTGGAAAGCGTTTATCGAGAAATAGTAGTCAAAAGAAGGTGAACAACGGAGAAGAGTAAGGGAAAGGAGAAAGAAAGGAAGAATGCTGATCGTTTTTTGATTTTTTTCTATTAACTTGAAGTGTCAAATTTTGTGAGTAGTGCGACAACATGGATAAAAACACGAGTGACATGAAGCCAAATCCTAAAGAGACCGCAAATGTCTTCAGTGTTCTATGCTTCTGGTTCGTCAAGATTCAATATATTCGATAAAAGAAAGAACAAAATGTGCAAGTCTTTGTTTCTTGCGAACAAATTTAATTTTTGCAAAAGAGAAGAGATTTCGAAAAAGCAGAAAAATTTTATTTTTTAGAAAAAAGATTACTTTAAAAAAGAACTATAAATAAAACTATATTTTTCCAAAAAGAAAAGAAATGAAGAATATTTTCGCTCCTATTGTGTTAGCTATTTTTCATTTTACATGTATAATACACTTTACGTTTTACCTTAAGAAAATGAAAAAGCATTTTGCAAATTTTCCTACTACTCAAAAAAACGATGTGTAACTTGCGTCGAGTCATCCTCTTATCTTTTCTTTCTTTACATATTAATTACCATTTGCAGTAATTAATAAAATTAACTGTGTCTTTATACAGTTGAGTCATATTAAATTATTATTTATTATTAATAAATATATACATGCACTTGTGTTAAATTGTCATTTTCGAATATAAGAGGAGAGATTGATTAATTTTCTTCTTAGACTACATAAACAACCATGGTTTTTCTGATCGCACACCGTTAAAATAAATTTACAATGGAAAATACACATATATAAGGTGTTCGTAAAGTATCTACTTAGAGCCTTTAATTTTCTGAATTACATATAATCATATATTTTAGCGTTGAGGGAAAAAATTATTATTTCTAGATATTTCAACATACTTAAGATTTACTGCTAAAAATCGATACATAATTTGCGAGATATATACCTAAGTATGTATCTAGAATTTTTTGTGATTTATACATATATTATCATTATTGGTAAAAAATAAAAGAATATAGTCGTTCTTTTTGGACAGTCTTTGTACTGTAAAAAAAATGTGAAGCATAAACTGATGTGAATCATAAATTGTGAAATAGATCGTTTTTTATTTTCAAAGGTGGTTGCGAGAATTATTTACGATAGGTTTCAAGCGCGATTTGGAAGAATCCGACATTTATCGACCAATCAAAACAGACGAATCTAAAAAACTAACCGATCATCTCGAGAAGTGAGTATCGCTCGTGTTAATATTAACAAAAATTCATAAGTGAATGCATATACATATATTATAAGTAATGGCGCTCATAATGTTTAAAGTTCTCACTTTCGTTATAATGAAATAATAAACAAATCTTAATAATTTTTTTTAATTACAAGTACAATTAATATTATTTATGCACATATTGTATAATTTCGATATCTATATTCTATTTTAAATCGCTATTATTTTATCTTAGATAAATATCTATCCTTTAAATTCTTTAAACTAAAAACATGCAGCAAAATATATGAAGAAAGTAAAATTAGAAAGTAAAATTATTAATTTAATACTTTTCTAGAATCTCTCTCTCTCTCTCTCTCTCTCTCTCTCTCTCTCTCTCTCT